ATATGAACAGGCACTACTTTGGCACAAACTTTTGTTAAAGATTAAAAAATTTATCTGGCCCAGGGCATTTATTTATATGCAATTTGTTTAACTCAATTCTAACCTGCTCTTCAGAAATGAAGTTTAAAGTAATATGTTAATATGATTTAAAGTTTTCTCGGAGTGGTAGGTAACGTCCAGTAGGAGAAATTGTGCAGTTACCTCAAAGCATGACATCTTTATCTGTAGCATCTTTATATATAGCTAAGACGTGACGTAACTGCACAACTGCTCTGACTTTCTTGTGTCATTTTCCGCCAGCCAAAGCTGAAATGGAAACATGCAATACTTCCTTACGACCACGATGTCAGCAGCGCCACCATCCGAGAATAATTTCGCGAACAGGGTAAAACGCGCACGCATGCGCAGTCATATACGGTTACATAATATGAATATTATTTATGGAAAGTGCCGGTCCGCGGGGCGTCACTTCCCATTCGTCCTTTGATATCGTATATTCAAATCTTTCGCCTCGACCCAGTGGTTTTGTTTCAAACTGCCGACCCGTACGACAGAAAAGTCGCATATATAATGATATTCTTAATCCGGCCGGTATCATTTACATTTCGACTTCGCGGGCGATTTAAACGCGATCTGGCGGACAATTTTCAAGGCCCATTTCGCGGCACCCGACGTATTTTTTTTTATTTATTTTTCTCAGCGCGCGTGCAAAAACGAGGCCGAAAAAAATTAAAATTAAATTTCAAATCGCGTTGCGCCATTCCGGGCGACAAAAAATGTCGATAGATGGTAATGCAGTAGCCCAACATCAAAATTTTTTGCATTTTATATCCAAAACATGAAATGAAATGGGGTTGTTGCCCTTATGAATTGTATAAGTAGGGACGTTTTAGTATCGACATTTGATTCGTCAGTGTTTGCAAGACAAAAAATGAAATAAATACATTTCGAATTACAATTTAATTGTAGATTGCATGTGAAAACAGCATTAGAGAGTGCCAGATCATGCTAGATTACTTTCACTTGTCAATGTCAAAATATTTAATCGTTTTATCAGTGCTTCAAGTCCATGTTGGGCAATGGTTAAATGCTACTTTTCTTAAAAGATTACAAAACAAAATTCAGTTGAAGGCAGAGTTCGAAATGTTTGCAGTACTCCATGAAGATTGCATAATGTTAGGAACGATTTAAATGACTGAATTTTTTATTGTCAAAATGCGCAAGGGGCTAATTTTCAAAATTCAATAAAATAGTGAAAAATTATAAAACTATTTAGTTTTTAAATTTAAGCTACGGTTAAGTAATAGAGAAGCAATAAAACATTTGCGGCGATTCATTTTACCGTCTTGCCAAAACTGACGAATCAAATTTTTCAAAAATTTCATTTTGACATTTTGAGATATTGTTTTTATGTCAAAAATTAGACATTTTAATTAAATACGTGCATACAAAATTTCACCGTGCTATATAGGTAGGTAGAACAAATAATGTCGGGGGCACTGTAGATAAGCTGGTGTTACCTACAATTTCGTCGGAAATTTAATTAATTAATTGAATTGAATTAAAAAATAGAGTATTGGGAACCACAGAGACATGCCTCGAACTTATAAGATAGGTAATACATAGAAAAGAAAAAATAACGAAGCGCGATAATAGTTTTCACTTACCAATAAAAAAAAAATTAGTTAACAAAATAATAATAATAATAATACTTATAGAATGTAAAAACAAAAAAAAAAGAAAACGAAGCACGAATTTATCTGTAAAAAAAAGCTATTGCCAAGGTACCAGGCCTCAAAGATTTGTTTCTAAAATAATCTAAAAACATATCTGAAAGCAAATCACTGTGGATTTAGAAAACATTTTAGCACCACTACAGTGCAGGCGTCATAGTGAATAGTACTTGTACGGTCATTCTTAATTTAATACTTCATAGTCACAATTTAACATTCGCAAAATTGAACTATTTTTGAATCTCAAATAATTCTTAAATAAATCTTACTAAAGATATTCTACCAGGTCTTCCATTAAGGGCAACGAGGTACGGTATTAATAAAAACAGCTGTTCCTAAAAATTTGAAAAAAAAAAGCAATTCGGAGAAGAGAAAATGCGGAAAATTATTTTTGGGCGGAATTGCCTCTCGACATAAAAATAGACTGGACAGCTATATCAAGAGTGCAGAAGTTTAGATATTTGACGTGTTGGTTTGGAGAAGATCTAAATCCAGATATGGAAATAAGAACCAGAATAGAAATAGCTAGAGGAACATTTTTTAAATTGCGAAGCTTGCTAAGTGACATAAGCCTTAACACCCAAATCCGCTATAATTTCATTAAATGCTACGTCTTTCTGTGCTCTTGTATGGGGGCGCGTTGTCGACGCTCAAGTTTAACAGGTCGAACAAACTAGAAGCGTTTGAAATATGGGTTTATCGTGGTATGCCGAAAATGTTCTGAACTGACCAAGTAATTAATGAAGAGTTTTTACTGCGAATGAACAACGTTAAGCAAAAATGCCTACTTAGGACATATAATGAGGAGTAATAAGTATGAATTTCTAAAACTTATAATAGAATGGTTAAAGAACGTTAGAGAATGGACAGAACTGGACTTCCTGGATTGCTGAGAAGCGCACAAGATGGAAATGAATTTGCCAGAATAGTTCTTCATTGAATGAAGCTGGTACCTAAAGAAGAAGACGTGGTACGGACACATGGAAAGAATTTCAAACCGCCGATGGCCTAAAAGAGTATTCCTTTGGCAGAAGAAAACGAGGAAGCCAAAACTAGAAAAAGTCATCTAACAATCGTAACATCTGAGGACTGTGAAAACTGATGAAACATTTTCAATTATTCGTTTCTAAAATTATAAACTGTTATTTCCCTGTAGAATTTTGTTTCAATCGACAAAAACGTTAATTAAAGCTTCACGTGACGAAATCCCGACTCTCGTTTTTGTAGGTTAGGAGTCCGTGTTCTCGGCCTACTTAAATCAAAAACGCGCGTCAACAATCGTTCCTCGAAACTCGGGGCGCGAGGCAAAATTCTAAAAATGTCTATGAGACTCTGCTCGGATAATGGCGCATGCCTTGGACATAATAAAACGCGATTATTATTATAAATAATAATAACGCATACCATTATGTTATATGGAAGTTATATGGTAATCGGTCACGCGCGGTCAGTCGCGAAGTTAACGTCCACTTAAGTTGTGCAACATGATAATTGTTCCGGAAGGTCGCAAGAGAGAAAATAAGGTCGCTTGACACGCATCTTTTAACCGGCCGGAGGTTAAAGCTATCGAGGTTTCTTTTAAATTATGCTCGTTTGGAGAAAATTCCCATTGTCGTTTTTATATGGCGACGGCGGAATAACTAAGCGATTTCGATCGTTCAAAATGATGCCGAACGCTTGTTGATAAACGCTAGGATCGACGTTGCTAAAGTGGGTGTGCTTAACATGGCGAAAACACCATTACTAGCCTTTATTGGCGATTCAAGAATTCGATGAGACCCCTGGCGCGGGAAAAAATGTTTAAGTATTTCTATTATTATAATATTAAAGGAAAAACTTTCCGGCTTCAAGTCCAAAGAGAAAATAACTTCCTATGTTTGATAGATGCCGCACAAGAAACAATTAATTACCAATAAAAATTAACGAATGTAAAAATATTACTATTTAAATCTACCCAGCATACTTTAGCAGAACTACATCAACATACTTGCACATTCCATCTTCTTGCAACTTTGCCAGGGCGACGTAAACTTGGCCCTTAATTTCACAAAGAGTGCTTTTATTTTACCGGCTGCCCTTTCTTGTAGCTGGATTCAAAATAAATATCTTTTTAAAAGTTCTGTATCTTTATGACGGTTCAAGCTAGAGCCCTTAGTATTTTTCGCAAACAACAGCAAACAGATTGGAATAAGACGTTTCCTTTGCATTTTCCTGTATTTGAAGGTGCTTTTCTCTGACAGTTTTTACTGAAATCAACCCATCCTCTGGATTCTGTATCTGGTGTATCAAACCAACATCAAATTATATATTTGCTCTCTGATCGAGAGTTAATAATTTTCTGAAAGCAATTTAAATCTCCAAATGCTCAATCTGTGTACTTCCATTACCAATTGTTTTTTGTCTTCTTTAAGAGGGTGGCTGGCGCGACTAGTAATTATATTGACTTTAGCTTCCAGCTTCCTTTTCAGTTTATCCAAAGTTTAGTATATTTTTCTTCCAATGTAACAATGGAGGTAGTAATTAATTTTGAAAAGCTAAGACGATATACCTTATAACACGCTTTAATCATAATGAAACATTTCGAAAAATGCTGTCTAAATAAGCAATGAAATAATTTGGTTTAGTTGTAACATTTTCCGTTATTATCTTACAAAATACACATCGGACAATTTGAGTCAACGTCAATTTTTCCGCGAACTGTTGATTCGATTTGGATATATTGGATTCTTTAATTGTACCCTAAATAATCAGAAGAGATGTTATGAAAAACATTTTTATTCAAGTTTAGGTTTTAGGCATATATATAGTGTTTAAAAAAACAGTTCTATAATCATATTCTGCCTGAATTTCCGTCAACATTATTAGGTGTCTGTCTAAACCTAATCATAGCTTCATCTTTTTTATTCGAGTCCTTATCTCTGTTATTAAACGAAATACGAAATACAATTTCAATCGAATAACGATTATAATGACAAAACACATTATGCAAAACTAGCACAACATTATTTAAATGAGACCTTGAACTGGCCTTCAAATCCATGCAGTCCAGACTTTAATCCAATAGAATATTTATGGGATAAAAGAGGTAGGCAGCTGAACGATTATCAACCCCACCTGCCTCCTTGGATCGTTAAAAAATTTACCATCAAATACAGATAGACTTGTGTATAAACAATGTCAAATGTCATTCCTTTTCCTACCAACCAAATGCCAACTTGATGCGTTACTTTTTAAACCGAATAATATTATTATAACATTTTGTTCCAGATTCCGGCAGATCTCGACAAGAGTTGGCACATTCCCAGACCCACACTAGCTCGTAGCTCTGAAAGTTCGCAGGGTTCGACGTCTAGCAAAAGTAGCACTCAGGTAAATCATCAATATATTCTTTTTATTTATTTATTTTTTCACGCGCTCCGACAAAAGGGGGGTTAAAAGAGTTACATCGCATTATTTGAGATAAGTGATCTGAAATCCGCAATAAATCTTCCTAAGCATCTTGTGAGCGTAAATTTAAAAAGTTCAATGATTTTCAATAAATTCTAGATGTTTGTCTGAATATATTAAGCTCTATATGTAAATGTATAAGAAATATACTACTTTTTGGTTATGTGTTTTTGTATACATATATAAATCAGTATTTTTCTATAAACTAAATAAACTGTTTCAAAATTTGTATTAATTTTTAATCAACTGTTTTACATGTCTTGTTTTACCCTCACTTTTGATTTTTATATTATTTTATAATTATGAATTATAATAACCTTCTGGAACAAATAATGCTCCGCCCTTATCAAAACCAAACCTCAAACCTCTACGGATATGTTCAACAAAGGCTTTCGCAATGTACATGACAATGCTCAGCCGATTTGCACAAAATCGATCAGCAAAATTCACGATATTATCGAACGCAATGCTTCCGCCTCCAAAGGTATAGAAAGTGAATATTATTATAACCACGATGTCCTTCTACTAAACCGCATCTTGTAATTACTTATGTATGTGAGTCGTATCACATACGTAATAAAAAACCTGGCCTGGCATTAACTATGTATTTATTATTCTCGCAATTAATGCGACTCCAAATTGTCTGCCGACTTCCATTTTTTTCTTTCATAATCGTTGCACGCTAATAATAATTTTCTTTATGCGGCTATTATATCAGACGATCCTGATAGAACTATTCGCGTTTTTCAAAATTGTTTGATAGCAGGACACATGAAAAACGTAATTTGTTAATTAACACCTAAAAACCACAAGTGGTGCCACTTGGGTTGCCCCACTATATAACTTAGCGTACTATATGCTGTTTAAAAAATATGTAGCACACAAAAGTACTATATTTTTTCCATTCAACGTCCACCACAAATAAAACTTGTGTTTGATGTTGCGTTCTATTAATGAAAGTACGCGTTCAGAGAAAAAAGTGTAAGTGAAGAGGCTAAACTTGGTCGTTGCTCAATTTTTCATTTGTGTTATTTCTCCCTTAGTATTTTTTCTTTCCTTATTTAATTTTTTGGCCGGAAATAATAATAATAATTTTGCCGAAAAAAAAAGAACTTCAAATGGTGACGAAAGAAAAAAGCCAAGTTTAAAATTAATAAAAAGTGAACTTTTAACAAATTTAAATAATTTTAAAAATACTATGTTTCATTTGAAAAAATTTGGCAACATTAGGCACAACGAGTAACTGTAGAACATTGTTTCACGATCCGTTTCCATTTCAGAGCGTCAGATCCGGCTCGTTGCTACTGACCGCGACGAATCTCGCGCAGATTCATCAAAATCAGCAAGAAGCCGACAACTCCCTGAGCACCAGAGACCAAAACATACAATACTACCTCGAACAATCTAACAGAGACAACGATCTACTGGCCGCACTGCCCAAGAAGAACCCCGAGCCTGACAATGCATCGATCGCCAGTTCGATGCACTTCACCGTTGTCAACGTAAATACCAGACAAAAGCAGCCGAAACGTAGCTGCTGTAGAAGGCATCAACTGACGATACTCGTTATGACCATGTCTGCCTTGTTCACCGTAGGCATATTGACCGCCATATTTCTCTTAGAAAGTAAAGCTCGACATGGATGAGGAAAGTTTAGAAGAACTAACGCGTGTTTTTTTTCTTTCAGTGCGAGCCAGAAATCGGAATCACTAACAGACTTCCCAAATGAGATGGTGTTATTTCCCAGTATGCGAGAACTTCCATCCCGCGAGGACGGCTATAGTTCTAATTTAGAACAATTATTTATATTTTATTTATAAGTTTAATACAATTTTATCCTGTTTAGCATGTAAAGTCCCAAAGCAAAAACATTAAAATAATGAAATCAGTTCTTAAGTAATTATCAGCGGTAGCAAAATTGGTTGTAATTTTATATGCCCTTTAAAAATTGCAAATTTAAAAGTGTATAATCAATATCCACCGGCAACAGCCTACTTTAATACTTAATTTATATAAAAATTACTGTGATATGTAAAGCAAGCATTAAACATAATGTTGTGTTGTACAGTATTTATCAAGGTATTTATGCATAAAAAAATTGTCGCATGCTCTGTACCGCGATATTGACGTGTCATATCCTTGTTTGTTTAAAATAAATGTATGAGTAAATCGCCGTTTTTTTTTGCTATGCATGAACCTGTCATCCTGTCATTATCACTAAATACAGTTTGACCCACTTACCTCAATATCCTGTAAGGTCTGAGTCCATTTGTACTTCTCCAAATCACACCCATTCCCTTTATTGGGCTTAAGTTTGCCTTTCTCCGACTCATCCTCGTCCTCATCGATTTTCTCAGATATAGAAGACTTTTCGGCTGTAGAAATGCTGCTGCTGCTACTAGATGACGGAACTCCTACCAAATCGTTCAATATCATTAACGCAAAAATGAGGCTGGAGAATCAATTGCGGCTTTACCTTTGTCTTTGTCGATTTCCTTTTGCAATTTTTCAGCTTCTTCCTCTGTAAGTTCTGTAATTTGGGCGGGCTGCGCCGCTTGTGCGGTCACCTGTTTAGCTTTTTTGGCGGCTTCTTTCTCCTTTCTTTCTCTGATTTCGGCCTCATGGTTGGAGCGACTGATTTTTTCATGTTTCTTGAAAGTATTCATCACAAGCTGGAAACATTATTTAAACAACAGGCACCTACAAAAGCGACAACCGTACCTACCTTTTCCCAATCGCCTTCATTTCCCCCGGTAAAAAAATCAGTTTTACGCCCCAAAAAGCTTACAAATGTATCGAGAAGCTGAAAATTGAAAAATTAAGGTAGAGGTTAGGATGCGTGATTCTGTTTTTTACCTGGTGCGGTCCCTCTGGATGATGTTGCGCGATTGTAAGAAAAAGAGAATCGAATTGCTCCGTTTGTTTACAGTCTCCGCTCATATTGTAACTCAGACTTCTTCAGAATCAACGAAATATATTTAAAATATCGACCAAACGTTTTAATACAAACTTGCAAGCCGGTTTTGCTTTTGACACAAGCACGGATTAGTTTATACAGATTTCGAGACACAGCATCGCCACCAGTCCGTAAAGAAGATGTGGTTTATCGCTTGTACATTTTATATTACATTTTTTCCATAAATATTAGAGGTGTATAGTTTTGACGGCTAACCTAATTTCGTGTATAAAAATAATAATTTATACATTTTTTCAATAGTTAAGCCTAGATTAAAATAACACAAAATTTGAAAGTCTATGATGGAACGTATGAGTTATGTGATTCGTCGTATGTCACTCACAAAGGCTTTGCGTCTAGAATCCGTTGTTTCCCATCAAATAATTTTCTTGCCTATCACACTATTACATACGTTTTTTAATCATTTATAGTGCATTGGCAAGCATGACTGGAACATACAACGCGTGACAAGTTGTTTATCTGTGAAGAAGAATTTTCAAGTGCGGTTTATGATGGTTACGAAGGAGTAATCGAGTCCTTCGAGTTAAATACGTGTTTTTCTTTGTTCAACATTCATTGTTGTTTCTGACTTAGCTTAAGTTTAGTTTGGAAAAATTAATTCAAGAACTTTATGTTTTGTTTAAAAAGTTAGGTTATGTAAAAACGCATAATTTCTTTTTCATTTTTCGAAGTATTGGATACTAATTGCTATGGCTGAAGTTAACAACACCAATAATCCCAATGTGATGAACGAAATATCAACTTTGATAAAAAATTGGGAAGACGAGAATGGTCAGCCCAATTATGACCCCATCCCTACACTCACTAGGTAACATTCATTTCAGGCCTATATTCATATTGCATTTGAATTGTATTTTTAGGATGGCGGAAATAATAGAAGTCGAAACCGAGAATTATTTAAAAATGGACCCTGATCCTTTTGATGAAAGACATCCTTCGCGTACAGATCCTGACTGTAAGTTGGGACAGATTTTAAAAGCCATGTTTCGCAAGGATAACTTTATGAGCAAAGTAAGCTTTTCTGGAGGAGTGTGATTAATATGAGACATTTGATAATGTTTCAGTTGCTGAATGATTATTTACGGGAGTCATATTATAGTCGGTCAGGTATTACAGGTCAGGACATCGACCAACTGAATATAGCAGCATGTCGCTTATTGTTGGACGTTATGCCTGGCTTGGAGACATCGGTAGTGTTTCAAGTAATAGTTAGTGTCAATGGTAGTTGCTTTGATGCAATTTCACTTTTGCTTTTAGGATATGGACGGCCTGATTCATCGACTAATAAAATGGACCACAAATTCTATTGAACCGCTCCAAAGCTACGCCACTGGGGTGCTAGCCGCGGCGATGGAAATACCAGAAATTGCCACCAAGTTCAGAGAACAGAACAGCAGATTGGTGCCGCTGTTGATACAGAGATTAAAGCGATTGAAAAACTCGTCCGAGTTCTGTAAAAACTTTAACAACTCTAACACACAGCGACCCTTTGCCCATTTGTCTGTAATGAAATCGCCTCCTTACAGAGGAGATGGGATTATAAAAGTGAATTCCAATATGACTATAGGTAAGACCTCGAGTAAACTTGATTGACTGCAAATAATTACCCTGGGATAAGTTTAAAGGGGAATCATAAAAACATAAACGCGCTCTTACCATATTTGTGCACTTCAACTATAATCTGCTCATGAACAGCCCTTTATTGATAATTTCTTATCCTCACTCTCCTGCTAAAGTAAAAAAAAAGAGAAGAAAAACTGTCATTTTGGCTCTTTTATTTCAAGCGTCAGTCTGCGTCATCATGTACTGCTGTGACTCACTTTCATTATATATGGCCAGCTCCTTTTTTAGTTTCTATGGTATATAGAATATAGCATTTCCTTGGGAAAGTAATCCTTAACAATCTTTTTTTTTTTAATTATTTCTGATATGTTTAAGATACCTCAATAAAATTTAGACCTCTAAAACTTAAATTATTGTGTTACACACACATTGCAGGCCAATTCCAGAACTTCAAAAAGTTAGTACGAGAGGTTTACAAGTAGTGTTACCAATTCAAGAATTTAAGCGCAGTACCTATAATTGAAGTTTCTGTAGTAAAAAGGCTTAATTAATGTTATTATTGACTAACGATAATTCTGGAAAATGTTACAACGCGCAAAGCAGTCTCAAAAATAATCTGTTATACAGGAAACAAACTTGAAAACTTTCAGATTTTTTAACTATCGCCCTCTGGAATAGGATAGGACTGTTAAAAACATCTGCAAATTAGTCTAAAATATCCACAGGCTTGTTCAAGACCTGACCTTTGAGAATCATGATGTTTGGTAAAGCAGCAATCTCAAATTTACCTTTAATAAAAAACCAGGTACAACAGGTCCCTCATGACTTTACTGCACTCTCAAAATATATTGCTTATACATCATCCTACATCTCCTGTTTTCTTATAGTTCTTATGACATGTGACTTTTGCTTTAATATTTTTTATATACATTCGCTGAAATCCAAACCTATCTTAGAAATAAAAAACAATTTTGGGGGCTCGTTAACAGAACCCCGAACCACCTTTATTAGCGTTAGTTTTTATTATTCTATTTAGAAATAGTAGGAGCGTTTTTTGAAACACGCTGTATGTTAATATTTTTAAAAATCTATTAATTTTACTACAATGCTGATTTTGGTAAGTTAGTTCAAGAATTTCCACTAAATTTGTATCAACTAATCAAAAAGGAGGATAAAACTTCTTAAAACTTAGCAAATTGCTATTGTAGATTATAATCAACATTTAATAAGGTTGTCACGGATATGGGGTTAAACTAGTGGGCAAATAGAGTCCTAAACAAAATTTGAAGTACTGTTTTCGAAACTTTATTTAGAAAATCGCGGGACATGTATGTAAAGCTTAATTTTGGATTTTTAATATTAAATATAAGCGAATCATATTTTTTTCTATTTTTGGATAAGCAAAGCAACTTTTCAAAAAGGAATAGTCGTTTTTTATTTTAACAAAGCGGTAAGAGGTAATTATCAACAGAAGAATTTTGATTTTTTTTTTGAAGATTTTAATATTTTATGTATTATATTATAACTTTTTTTATATTATTATATTTCCTTTTATAATTCCTTGAAATTTGTAAAAAATATTTTTGTCGATTTTTTTCAATTTTGAAAAGTTTAATATGCGTACCACCTCTTATTGTTCGAAAAGACTCCAAAAAACCAAAGGCCCTTTCAAACTGTTACTACGATTGTCTTTCCAGCTAACGGTATCGCGTCGGAGTCGGTGGAAATCGAGGAAAACGCCGTCGACGACGAGATTTTAACGAACCATTCCTCGCAGAAGAGGAAAAAGAGCTTAGAGAACGAGTTTGCCAGCCCTCAGGTAACCATTTTTGATTAATGCTCAACGTAGATCTATCTGTTTCGCACCGCCGCAGTAATGCTAATGTCGTTGCTGTAAACATGTCAAAGATTGTGCTTTTATTGTCTGATCAAGTAAAGTTCTTGGATTTGCATTTGCATCACTCCGCGACTATTCTTTAGAAATTCTCAACTTTTTTGTGATAATTTGCTAACACAAACATTATTCTTTCCCATTGCTTTTCCTATATCCACACAGATTTGAGCTATAGTGTTGTCATCAATACAGAAAAAGATGATTAGGACTACAGTGAAAACTATTATATAGTATATTATTTTTTACATTAATTGGAAATCATTTTTTCAGAAAAATGTATTAGTAAAAAGTAGTTTTAATTTCTTTTTTCATATTTTATTTTATTTGTAGCAGTACGCCAAATAAACAATTATTAACAAAGAATCATTTAAAGGAGTTTCTAAAGTTGAATCAATTGCCTCTCAAAGTTCTGTACTGACTCGTATCTTCTTTAAATACTTTGTTTTGTATATATCGCCATAAAAATAAATCTAAAACTGAAAGGTCTGGAGATCGTGGAGGCCATCTTACAGATCCGCTGGTATCTATGCTTTTTTGAGGTTGTCTTCTAAAAATGGTCTTAAAAGTCCAGACTTTATGCTTTTATTTTGCAGACTACTTAATGTACCACTTTCTATAGAAAATTTTGAAAAAGAATTAAATATTCTAAAACAAATAGCTTTTAACAATGGTTACGACACATCTACTCTGAACTCTATCTATCCCATGTTAAAAACAAAATTTATAAAACAATAAAATACATACGAGAATCTAGCAAGAAATTTTCGAAACATCCATCTAAATTTGGTATTAATATTGCTTTTAAAACTGAAATTACCATAGGACATTTTCTAAGAAACAATAAAACTAAATTACGAAAAACTCAAAAATCCGGAGTTGAAATGTGGATCTTGTCCCAAAATTTATATCGGACAAACAGGTAGAACATTTAAAAAACGCATTGACGAACATAAAAGGGCGTATTAAAATAAAACTTCAGATTGTAGATTTAGAAATACACAGCTTTGAATATACTTTTGATATTTTACATAATCATTCAAAAAGCAAAAAACTAAAATATGACCTATTTTATTTAATTGATTGATTTCATAATTGTGACGTATGTATTTGTCAGAATAAGGGGTTGTAGAAAATCGACAATTTTGCATATTGCATATCGAAATTTTAAAAAAGTGGACGTAATTTTATATTTGCAATTTTCAATTTAACGTTGATCCCACGGATTCTAGTATTCTCTGCTTCAAAAATTGTCGGTCATTTTCAATGGGTCTTTGATATGTGACTTGGTTAAGACGCCGCCAAAGAAACATATCGCAAATTATCAAAGGCGACCATAAAATTGTACCATTGCAGCTTAAAATACATATTTTGATGGTACTGAGTACACAATTCTTCCTTCTTGTCTGATAAATATGTTTCCAGCATTTGCAATAAGAATTTGCGTTACAAGTGTTATCAAAAAAGTACATTGAGTCCATAGAAATATTTCCTTTTTTAAGTTTTGGCTGATTTTCTTTTCTTTACCATCTCACGTGTTGAGTGCCATTTATTGCGCCTTAACACATTTTCATCATATCTTTTCTTAGTCTCTACATTACTAACAGATCCAGTTGGGGTCAATTTATTTACCAACTTATGTATGGAATTTCTGCATAATGGAATATTTGGATACTTATAAGAATTTTCCCCTCTCCATAATTTTGGATTATGAATATTTCCGGTTCTAAAGTCAACATTCTTCTTATTTTGACAAATACGTTACTATTATGAAAGGTGCAATCCACTGAAATATAAATATTTTGGATTTAATTTTGAAATTTCGAATTTTTGCGTGAAAATCTGTAATGTGATGAATTTTAAGGATTTTGAGGATTTTGCTTTTAAGCTGTCGAAAATACCGCTTTATTCTTTCACAAATTTTATTTTTTTGTTATTTTGTTTTTTTTGTCGTAGCCTGTTTAAAATAAACAAAACGGGACACATTACCATATATACAGGCGCCGCGCAAGCTGATGTTTTCACAAATCGACTCATGCAGCGAAGGCTATAGTAATTCATTATTTTTGGTTTTGAGAAAAATACGTTTAAAGTATTTGCTTTATTACCATCCATTAATATTTTTTCTATCTGATAATATATCTCAATTTTGTTTTTCTGAGTCCTATTGACATGCTATATATGTCGTAGTAAAAGTTGTTGGTAAGTATATGCACTGCATAATAGTAACTCCAACACCGTCAAAAATGAGTTACTATAGTCTTCATTGCATGAGTCGAAATTATACTGTAGATATCGTGAATTTCATGATTTTAACTATATATAGTGTAGGGATCTGAATATCCTGCGTCGGTTATTGAATCGAACTTGCTGATAACTCTCTACATCTTCGATCTGTCAAAGACAAAATTCCTCTCGAGATACCAGTAGTTTACAGAATTCCATGCATATGTGGCAAAGAATACATTCGAGAAACAAGAGCTGATGGCAGTTACCCAACATATCCATGAAACGTTTTGACCCTTGTGGCAATAAAAGTGTGGTTCATGAGCGAATGTTTTAAGATCATGAAAGAAAAAGAAAGTACTGTTGAAAATAAAAAGGAAAGAAAACAACCGGTCATGGTTATCGATAGGATTAATTTTTGTATTAAGTGGTTTGAGTTTAGTTAGGTTATTGGGGCGATTATAAAGTTTCTATATATTTTCTGTTGCAACGTGGAGGTTAATTAAGTCCACGAAATCGAAAAAGCTAAATTGTGCACATCCTAAAAGTCCTAAAAGGGTTTTTTGATTTGATCGAGATTATATTTTAATCTTTTAAGCTTTGTTGGTAAAAATAAATTTTAATGCATAATCAGTTATAAATAATTAAATCTTGATGTCTCCTGCGTCGCAAACTCGCTGACGTTTCGCCAATCATCCTGCTTAACTGATTCTGGCTCGCATTTTACTGTGTACCTGTGTACCTACTTATATATTGTTTAAAGGGGGCGGAGCTAAATGAAATAATTCGAGATCTATAGAAATCTATAAGCAACCAAACAATTTTAACAGCGATAAAACTGAAATTCTTTCATGTAATCAATTCATCTACCAACGAGAAATCTTGTTTACCTTTTACCAATATGGCAATCTGTCCCCCTCCTTTAGTTCCCACCACCTCCAACAATATATAAGCAAGTACAGACCAGAATGAGAGTCAATTTCAGTTAAGCTCTGAACAATGATTGGTAAAACGATTGGTCACCTCATTAAAGTGCTTGCGAAAACTCTTTGGTTTTTGAATTTCCCGGATGTTGCATCCACATCAATAAATAACATGAAAGGTTTTGGAAGAGGAAAAAAACTTTAAAATCACTAACCTCAAACAGAAGTGATTTGAAAATTTTTAAACAGTAAAAGTTAATTTGATCGATCATACAGGAAATATTGGATTTTAAGACTGCTCTGTTAATCTCAAAAATCTGTAGGAGACACAACAAAATCTTTAATTTCAAAAATTTATCTGGTGCAAAAGAGTTGGCACCATCGCCCAATCTCAGATGGTTGACATTTTTCAAAGAAACTTCCACAGGCTACAGTAATTCTATTTACAAATCTGTTGGCTTCTTCTTCAGCAACTTTAACTTATAAACAACCGACGCAGGAGGAATCCAGAAAAATTGTAAATAGTATTACGGTAGCCTGTAGAAGTTTCTTTGAAAATTTTTTTTTAGTAAATGAACAATGTAGCTCTTCATCTTTCTATTGAGGCAGATTATTCTATATATGTATACCTGAAAAAAATTTATTTATTCAAATTGAAGTTGATTTTTGTGGAAATACCCATCATACTTTCTGATATTATAAAATGTAGGTCCGCTTTTTGAGCTTTTTTAATTTCTTTCGATATCTTTGTCTAATGATGAATGCCATTTATTTATTGATGGTATCAGCAAAACGAATGAATCAGATAATGTTCTCCTGTGCGATTGTATGTTGCATTTTAAGGTTTAAGTAGGTTTTATGGGCGCGTTTTCATAAATGAGAATTAAATTTTAAATTACCGGTTAATCAGTGTTAGAGTAAACCTTTGGAAGTTTCTTTTAAAAAAATAAATAAATTCGTCAAATGTGGTCGGAGCTAATTTGTCTACGATCTATACCAAACCGCGCTTTCGTCGCTTATAGACCTCCGACACGGAAACCAGCAGGAGAAAACGCCTCAAATTGGATAGCGGCTCGTCGGCGGCCCCCTCCCCGGACGCGAGCCCGCAGAAGGTGTGCAACGTTTCGGAAACGAGCAACTCGTCGTGGGCCGAACTAGAAAGTTTCATGATCGGCACCGTACAAATATTCCCTCCTACGATTGCGACGCGTCAGATACTGATCCTCAGGTATTTGACGCCCATAGGCGAGTACCAGGAGTTCCTCAGCCACGCATTCCACGACAACACCGCTCTCGACTTGATCCTGTGCTACGTCAACGTGCGGATGACCAAAGAGGCGCGGTTGGCCTTCGAAGCACTGAAATATTTGGCCGCGTTGCTGTGCCACAAGAAGTTCTCCATCGAGTTCATCCAGCGGCGCGGTCTCGAGGCGCTACTCGAGGTGCCACGCCCCTCGATCGCCGCCACCGGTGTCTCTATATGTTTATATTACTTGGGTTATTGCGAGGAGGCGATGGAACGGGTGTGCCTATTGCCAAAATACATAGTGACGAATTTGGTTAAGTACGCGCTGTGGTTGCTCGAGTGCTCCCACGATTCGGGACGCTGTCAGGCCATCATGTTTTTCGGGTTGACGTTTCAGTTTAAGGTCATCCTCGACGAGTTCGACGCGCAGGACGGCCTCAGGAAACTGCATAATGTCGTAAGTGACACGACAGCGTTATTAAAATACCTTTTCTCTATAAACTACTCGTTATTTACGTACATAAACTACTAGAGGGGGAAGTTCTAATATTAGGTTCAATTAAGTAGTAATCAATTAGGGTCTTCGTAAAATGGAGTTTTTTGCGGAGTCTCTAGTTCTATTTATTTAAGTTATTTATTAGAATGATAACAATCTGTGTGGGTGAAAGTGGAAACTTCTTAAATTAGGTTCAAGTAGGTGCTTAATATAATCTATCCATTCATTCAAGTAGGATTTTTTTAGAGCTCTAGTTTTATTACTAGATTTGCAGCTGAGTAACTTACAAAATGAGCAAGTCATAGAGTGGATAACAATCTGTTCCGGTAAAAATGGAGACCTCTTAAATTAGGTTCAATTCGGTGCCTAATTACAACCCATTAACTTCCAAAGTAAACAGGATTACACAGTGGATAAAAATCGGTGGTGGCGAAAATGGCAAATTCTTAAATTAGCTTCAATTAGGAAGCTTAATATCAATCGGCAATTTATCAAAATAGTGTTTGAAACTTACTAACTTACAAATTGAGCAAGGTCATACAGTGGACAATAATCTATGCCGGTGAAAATGAAAAAAACGTAAATTAGGTTAAATTTGGTGCTTAATATCAACCGGAAAACCATGAAATTCGTCCAATAAAGTATGGTTTTCGTAAAATAGGATTTTCTATAGTTGTACGCGTTTACTACAATAACAACGTATTAATTTATAAAGTGAACGAGGTCACACAGTAGATAACAATATGTGCTTGTGAAAATCGAAAGTTCTTAAATTATGTTCATCCGGCAATTAAGATACGGTTTTCTTAAAATAGGATTTTTGCAGTGTTCTGGTTTTATTTATTTATTAGAATTACAAGGTATTAACTTCCAAATTGAAAAGGGTTATACATTGGATAACAATTGGTGCAGGTGAAAATGGAAACGTCTTAAATTGGGTTCAATTAGGTGCCTAATATCGTCCGGCAAATGCATTAAACTAGTTTTTGCAGAGCTCTAGTTTTATTATTGGAATTGCTACTTATTAACTTACAAAATGAGGAAAGTCAAACAGTGGATAACAATATGTGCCAGTGAAACTGGAAAAATCATAAATTGGGTTAAATTAGATGCTTAATATCTCGACAATCCATTAAATCCATACTTTAAAGTGTGGTTTATTACAGTTACAAGGTAATAACTTACAAAACGAACGAGGTCACATGGAAAGTTCTTTGCTTTAATTGGGTTCTTAATATCGTTCCGATGTAGCGTTTTTGTAAAATATGTTTTTTTATGAACTCTAGTTTTTATTTATTTTGTTTATGTTTATTTATTACAATTTATTAACATACAAAATGAACGAGCGCATGTAGTGGGGAGGGTTTTTGTAGAGTTCTAGTTTCATTTATTTTATTTTTATTTATTTTAATTACCACTTGTTAACTTAAAAATGAACGGGGCCCCAAGACATTGCCCCCAGGGCCCACCTTATTCATTACATATCAGGAGGATCCAGACCACTCTTCTTAGTATGACGCTTGAAGTTTTTATCATTTTCTAGTTACTTATTTCTTTATAGTTTAGGTTTGTGAGGTATAGACCTGAGCGACGCACCTAGGACAGATCTTTTTAGACATTCAACAAAACGTGTATTATTTTTTAAAGCACCAATATATTTGTGTCTCGTTGATAATTTAAATTTTTGAAACTTCTAAACGACTTTTACGTATCTTTAGGACCTACCCTAGATCATGCATCTTTACCGGAAAATAATCTGATCTTGAAGGTGGATTAAAATGTGACGACTTTATACTAAGCGTTATTTTCGGCTATCACCCAATTTAAAAATATAAAAACAACTTTAAATATTCGCAATTACTAAATTCGCGCAGATATCAACGTTGCCGATATTACTTCCGGACACCGACACGGGTCAACTGAACGAAGACCAAGAGTGCGCCGCGAGACAAATCGTCAGACACGTGTGCGTCGCTTACAGGCGCTACTTGGAGGCCCACCTTTACACCAAAGCGGAGCTCATCAAAAGGTCGCAGATGCGACCCAGCGAAAAAACCAACACTCCCCTCCTACCGGCGCTGCCTCCTTACAAGGTACGTAGTGCTGTCAGGTATTTGACGATGCTGTAAAATTAATGCGAAATATCTTCTCTGATATATTTAGTTGGGTAACAACTCCAGCCATTCGGGGCACTAAAATAAAACCATTAAAAAAAAAATAAACAAATATCTGTACTGCTTAAAATAAGTTAATTTGCTGATGATTCTACACTACAAAATTGGATTTGAGTAAAATACATGATCACTACAAAATTTCGGGTTTTAAAATTGAACAAAACGGAGACTCCTGAACATCAGATTAGCCATTTTATTTCCCTTTAAAGGTCTTTTCTCACTTACTTCTTTATGTTTTCGTTTTTTATACGTCGTTCCTCCTTCCTTTGGTCATGTTCATATCACCTGGTTCATTCTTATTTCATGGTTATCTCGTAATAACGTGGATTGTTTCATTTGATATTCTTTCGACTATCGATTTTCCTGCCGCTGTCCTCCATTTCTGGGGCCTCATTTTATGGTCAGTGCTTTTTATAATAGAATTATGTGTTAGATGTAAATCATGCAGTCTAAGGTTCCTCTGTCTGATGTATTGATTCCCAGGTATTTGTGCTTCCTTCTAGACACTCTGCTTTATGTCAAGCCTAGCAACTCCACGTAGGCAATGACAGCTTCCAGAATCGTCTCCTTGATTACCTTAGGGGATGGATATGATTCACCAAGCATGGCTTCGCACCGAAACGAGAGGTTAGAACATTGGCACAGAATGTGTTCTAATGTCCCGTCTTCCTCTTCACACACCCTGCATGTGGGAGTGCTACTCAAGCCTTGTCTGAATTGTTGTTTGTTGATTAAGCGATGACCCGTAAAAATATCTCTGGCCATGCGTAGCTTTTCCCTGGACATTGGTATTGTTTGGCTGCCTTTTGGTTTGGATAGCTCAATAGCATCCGAGCTAGCGAAATAGTACTCTTTATCATCTCATTGTTTTTGAAATTGCTTCCGGGACTTTTTCTTTATCAACCCTTTAATAACTGACTTCGCCAGACCGACAGGAGGCCTATAATGTCCGGCAGCCTTAGACTGACACGTCAATGAGGGCACGGTGACATTCTAGTCCTAGTTCCGACGTAAAACGTGGTCTGTGAAGTACCAGAACTGCTGGTCTGCTATATACATAGGTGCATAGGGTGCATGCGGCTACAGTAATGCGATCGACCTCCGTCACAGCGTTACATCTATGAGAGTTTGACTACGACAGTTTCGAAATGTAGTTTCATTTCCCTAGTTAGAAATGCAAAGGTTTTGATCCATAAATAATGGGTTTGGGCTTAAGAAGCTCCCGAAGCGTTCGCAAGGTTACAAGGTTCCGCATTGCTATAACTCAGAGACGGCAGGTCAAGGATGTGACATCATCATTCATAACTTATGCAAAATGCGAAAGTTTGATGTGCAAACGGAAAGGCATTAAATTTCAATTCACGCGAAAGAGGTTACAAATACCTATTTGATGAAGATAGTGATTTTCGAAGTGTAGGCGCACTTGGAACCTAAGACAAAGACGTCGTGAATGCCTATGGTTATTTCTGGAACCCTGTTGCGCGCAGGCTCAACGCGTCACTTCCCCTCAGCAATAAATAACAAAACAGGCGTCTGCGGGCGCTACGGTGTACCTGTACTACCTTCGTTAAATTAGAAAATATACACTTGAGTAACGAAGTAACTTTCCACCACATGAACTGCAAATCCGAAGAATACCGAACGAAAGGTAGATGGAGGTAAGCCTCGGGTCCAAAAGTAATAAATAGTTGATGATTTTATTTATTGATCCACGACTTTGGTTATAGATGGTTATAGAGTTGATAATTCCGACCAACGGTTTTAGGGACCCTCTAAGGACACACAGATACAAACTACTGGAAGGATACCCTTTTCGTAGCCCTTCACTGATCCTTGAACGATCACAATGGCGGTACCAACCTTTGATCAAAAACTACACATAAAGCCCTATCTGGTGATATATCACGGACGAGAAAATGTTAACACGTAGCTAAGTATCCTAGACAACAAATCACAGGGATATCTTGCAGTTCGGAAAGACCCAAGGAAGGAAACGGTACCTCCTAGATAACCCTTTCTGATTGATTCTAAATTTGCGGCGGTTTCATCATTTATTATTATATTAATTGCTATATTTATATTATTACGGAAATTTTGGAATAACATATCGAAAAATGGTAGCGTTTTCCCTTTCCTTTTTTAATAATGCTTTTATGTTGTAAAATAAGGGCACTTGTCTCGCGCACCTCCGTAAAGTAAAAATTGAACCGTAGCACCCTCTTTTCAAAGAGTTGCATCTACTTTTCAGGCGTGCAAACTGTCTCCGGAAGAGATCCAAGGGCACATTGAGCTCCTGCTGCAGAACATGCCGTTCCGGTCGCACTGGTCGCCCGTCGACCACCTTCTCAAACTGGGCGGGGTCACTCTGCTCCTCAAAATAATCGCGTTCGCGTACGAGTGGAACTACAGCGGGCGCGCAGAAACAGTACGCTCCGCCCTCGACGTCCTCGCGATCGCGTGCGTCATGCCTAAGGTGCAGCTGTTGTTTTGCGAGAAGGTCGACCTGCCCGAGGAGAGCATCACCGTTGGATTTAACATCATCCTGGGCGCGGCAGAGGGCGAAATCGTCGCCGACGCGGACGTGCAGAAAGCCGCGCTGCGCGTCATAGTGAATTGCGTGTGCGCGCCGGTGAACCGCATCGGCGGTTCTGTCTCGAGGTTCTCGCAAGGCTCGACCGCGTCGCCGAATAAAAAAACCAAGTTCAAGAGTTCTGAGGAGTTGATCCAGAAGGTGTGGGACTGCGTGCGATCGAACAGCGGCATCATGGTGCTGCTGCAGCTGATGAACGCCAAGACCCCGATCACGGACGCCGATTCGATGAGGACTCTCGCGTGCAAAGCGCTAGCGGGTCTCGCTCGGTCCGAAACCGTCCGTCAGATAGTGTCGAAGCTTCCTCTGTTCACCAGCGGCCAGTTACAGAACTTGATGCGCGACCCGATCCTGCAGGAAAAACGGCAGGAACACGTAACGTTCCAGAAATACGCACTCGAGCTTCTGGAACGTTTGTCTGGTAAAACGAAGTACGCGGGAAGCGACCTGGAGGTTTCGCTCGCGAACATCCACCGGATCCACAAGGCGAACGTCGTCGCGCAGACCAAGATCCAGTTCAACGATCGCCAACTGCTCCAGTTGATCCACCAGCACCTAGTGACCAAGGGGTACGGCGACGCGGCCGCCACGCTCGTCAAGGAAGCGAACCTGAGCAATGCCATCTGTTCGCTGTCGTCGCAACAGCCGACCAAGTTCCGGTACACGACGAACCTCACACCATCGCGCACGAGATTATCGTTCACCTCGCCTTCGACGCAGAGGGCGCTGCAGGCGTCCGCGTCTTTGGAGAACCTGCCAAGTGGGAGCGGGGGCGTCGTCGTCAACGGAGCCATGCCCACCACGATCAAGCTGGTCAAGAAGCAGCCTCAGATGTTTCCGACGACGCCGCACACCGTAAGAATTTGCTGATGTAGATATCTGGTGTTCCAGAAGGGAAAACATGATTTTCCCTTTCATAGGTGGCCAGGGGGCGTAATTGTTATCTTAAGTTTTAAAACTCGCGTTCTACAAGAACTTGTAATTGTTTAATGCTATTTACTCAATCTCTGCAAGGAAAGTGGGGAGGGGCGGAACAATTTCTTAAGTAAATATTGGTGTCTAGAAAAAAACATTTTTATAAACTTGAAGTCGTTGGTATCACGATTGCGATTGCTTAGCTTACCACTAAGTGACTTTTTCCCGACATAATCTCGAAATAGTTAATTTTAAGGAAAAGGAATAAAGGCAACGATATCAGCCCATTGGAAACTACATCTCAATATCGGTATCCTAAGCTAAAATATGAATAAGATGCTCGGATTGGGTTTTAGGAAAAATTTCCGCTTCCAAGGGTTGTTATTAATGTCTTATTAGCCCTAATTTACCGAATGAAACGCTAATTTATTAGTTGAGGTTGTGACGGTCTCAAAGATACCTTTGAATAAATATTGATTGATCATATGTGCTATTCACGTGCGCGGTTATAACCACGCAGTAGATAAATAATTTTACTCATTTTTTTCTTCTCATTTCTCATTTCTTCTTGTACGAATTCGCTAGAAGCGTTAGTGGAGCGTTGATTAGAGTCTAGACCCGATACGGTATATATAACTATAGCATTTTAACTCGAATGAGGCCAGAAAGTGAAAAGAAACCAGTGATAGTAAGTGCAAGATTAGGCTCAGATGCCTGTTTGGATATCGAAACATTTACTTCTCCCTGAGGCGAGATTTCATTGACATTCTAAACTTTGACACAACCTGGTGCTTGTGATGCATGGATACATAACGTCAATCGCCCGTTCTTCTAGGCCTATTTCGCTGTTCTGGTCGTAAACCGATTACACAATCTTGGAGACCTATAAATTTGGCCTGCGTAAAATGGCCTGCGATCGAGATGTCAAAGTTTTGTAACCTAAACTTGTATTTATAGTTTTATCTAGTCCAATATTAGCCGCTAATTTGGTAATTTTCCATGAGGCACAATATCCTTAGGTTATATTCGGCCGTTTGAACTGTCAAGCCTCCACTATTTACAAATCTTTTGGATTACTCCTACGTCGGTTGTTTATAAATCAAACTTGTTAAAGAAGAAGCCTATAGGATGATTGGCGAAACTTCAGCAACAGATTTGAAAATAAAAAAAATGTCAACCATCTGAGATTGGGCGATGGTGCCAACTTCTTTCCACCAGATACATAGATTTTCGAGATTAACGATCGATCAAATTAACTTTGACTGTCTCAAATTTTTTAAATAACTTCTGTTTAAGGTTAGTTATTTTAAAGTTCCCTTCCAAAACCTTTCATGTTATTTATTGATGCGGATGCAACATCCGGGAACTTCAAAAACCAAAAAGTTTTCGCAAGCACTTTAATAACGTGACCCAATTATCGACAACATGGTATGCCTTGCTTTTACAAATAAAATGATAAACATTTTTTTTATAACACACACTTAACGTAATCCAGGAACGAGATTTCACTCTTAAGAATCGGAAAATTAATAAAATCTATGTCAAAACATCGAAGAAACAACAAAACGAAAGGAATAATTGCCAGCACGCACGGGGTGGAAGCTTGTCTGGCCTCTAGCGTATTTAGAATTTATTTTATTGTTCGGTCTTCCCGAACATCCTGCCCTGCGTTAAAAGCCTTACTTTCCAACTAATTTAATGATCAAGCGCATTTTCATCATTTGGTAGTACACATACCTTGGTAATGCTTCTGATGTATGCACTATTTTTATGACGTCACGAATTTGGTGAGCTCTTCGAATTTAAAAACTATTCTTTGTAAATGATATTTAGTACTCTTTATGGCCGCCTCCCATAAGCGACTACGATCAGACTCTTCGGTGGAATAAACTTCTACTTAATCTCTTTGTGGCATTGTCACTATGTATTACTGACGGACAACCTCTGCGGGAAATAAATCATTTAAGTGTCATTATAAATGCATCTGTAGAAAGATTCTAAACTAGTTCTATATGAACAGCCTTGGTGACCATACAGATGACCACGCAGCTATACGATTTATTCAGGGAAACACTTTTTATTCTAGAAGATTTAGTAAAGAATGGATGTCCGAAATCTACTCCCACCTTGGAAAATGGTGTAGAGGGTTGCGTGCGATTTTTACTAAAGATTAGCCATTAGTTGTTTACAGGATTGTGCCTTAAATCTATAACATATGACACAATTACGAATTGTCCTTTTTAATCTCTACTAAACCACTAAGAGGCCAAAATCTTAGCCGAAAGTTGGAAAGAACCGTCTGTGCACCTGCATGGGAAAGTTTCAGATTTTCCTCCCTTAGTATTAATGAAAGAAGTAGATTTTTGGACGGAAGTAACAACGGGTGTTTCTGTTCATAAGGCAAGTCTGCATATGCCAACCTGACTCGCATTCTCAGGAGTCCAGAAGCGTCTATAAAAGGAGATAATCTAAGGAGAACCTTATTGGAAGTTACCTTATTGGACCTTAACTCACGTAATTCTAAACAACTAACTCGTAACAAAAATCTGAACTTGGATCCCCTCCGATAAAATGGAGTACAGTTTTCACTGTTCTTTCTTCTGGTTGGTGGTCCCTGTGAAATCAAAACCTTTAAGATTTATTTCAGTATTTTTTAGGAAGTTTGGACCACCGAACTAGAACTCTGAATACAGAATCTAATTTGAAAGACCAGCAGAAATATGTCTCCAATAAAAGCCCGACGTTAGTCGTTGAATTTTTTGAAACTCGATTTGATACGAAAATAGACCATCTTGAAGAATGAGAATTTATTCAACACAGTACTGTCTGGGAATGTGTTGCAAGAATGTTCACTATTTAGAACTGAAAGAACCTTTGACGCCACGTTTGCTAGGAGTGGTACTCCACAGAGCTCAGATATTACCAATTTGCAAGGAACAGTACCATCTGAATACATTGCTCGAACATAAATTGCATCACAAAACTGACTTGAAGAAAACATACATCTGAAAATTTTCAAATTGTAGAGTTCCAGAATTTTCGAAAGAAATTGTAACCATTCTGAATGAAACTCGTCGTAAGCTTTTCATCTCAGTCAATTTTAGGCATCCAGGTCTTCTACATGAAAATTTTTGCCACTATAATAACGGGAACAATAACTCCTAATTGATCGAAATCTGAGGGAGAACATGCCTTTTCGTAGTATGACGTTTCTCTTCTTTCTTCGGAAGAATAATTGTAAACTGATTAAAGATGGAATCCGATGCGCTACACAAAACCTTACTTCAACACATAAAAACGCATTTTTGACGACAATTTTGATATTTTACATACAGCCACAAAAAGTAGAAAATTAAATTTATTGGGAGCCATGGAGATTAACAAAATGAGACATTCAAATGTATTGCTTAACGATCAATTAGATTGAAATACCTCCCCTTTATTGAACTTAAATTCTCACAATAACATTAATTATGGTGTTATGGTCACTTTTCCGTATATATAGTAGCAGGTAGTTTGCAAATATTACATTTGATAAAGACACGTTGTTGTCGAAACAATTGTCATGTAAAAATATATAATATCGTGAAAATCTGAACTTTCAGTTCTTATTTATTTTGTCAAATTTGTATTATTTTATTATTCGCTGGAATGCAGATTATTCTGTCTCACCTACCTGTCTTTGCCTTGTGCAGGTGTGCAGATTCTCTGTAATAGAACTTTAGATACAAATTTTAATTTTTATTTAATTTAATTATTTACATTTGTATTTGAATATAATTCATGTATTTCAAATACATCTTAAAAACATGTGTGTTTGAAATTTAATATCACTGCTCCTATAATATGGACTGGTAATACTGACTGAATTAAATAAGAACTACCATAATACAAAAACATTTTTTCACCTTCCATTTCAATATAAAAGCTATTCAAGTGGAATAAAGAGGAGATTTGGTTGGTGAATTTAGATGAACACATTGATTGGATTTTATCAATTTCAATAAAATGACGTATTCTGTTTGTCTATAGATTGGCAAAATCTTACACTGTCCGTCGGCTCAGAACTCACGGCTGCAGAAAAAAGTGAGCGGCGAGCCATTGATCTGGGCGCCCGGACGGAGTATCCAGGAAGACCCCGCGGACCATCCTAGGGTGACCCTCGACTCTATCATTACGGAATACCTGACCAACCAACACGCCCTATGCAAGTACCCGATGGCGACATGTCCGCAGTTTAACTTGTTCGTGCCGCACAAGTGTCCGGATCCGAAGCCGCGGATCACTACCGCCAACAACTTTATAGTGAGAGCCGCGAGGAGGACTCTGGGGTACCAAGCGAAGACGATGGATCGCCGGTTCGTCCACTCCAGGTTTTGTCCCGTCCAGACGATAAGGTCGTCGACGGACGAGGGGTTCTTTACGTGCGCGAAATTCCTGCCCGGCAATAGGTCCGTGATAGTTGGTGACTACAACGGCGATGTGCACGTATACAACAAGCACACGGGCAACGAAGAGAGTAGTTTTTCTGCACACGACAATTACATCGTCCACATCGAGCCGAACAGGACCGGGGAGTTCGTGCTGACGAGTTCCACGTGGGGTCATCCCGTGTCCGCCCTGTGGGGCATCAAGAATTTCGAGATGAAGTAAGTCCGTTGTCAGAGTCCGCTCGACGTGACCATGGTATTGAGTTATTTTAAGCTTTACAAAAATTTATTATTCTTTGCTACATTCGAGAAACTTTAAAGAACTTCTTAGCCCTTCTTGTAGGGTACAAAAACGCGCAATCTGGAAATTTTCCTTACTGTATGTCACTTTACAGCAAAATTGTTAACATAGTCCCTTAAAATGTTTTACTTGGGATTTAGGATTTATAATGTGTTTCATATTTCGATCTTCCGTTGCGGTCCACTTCCCTATCGACTCGGCCCTCGTAAAAGTTCGTTATTGCTTAAGAAGGATAACTTATTCAGATCATCAACCGGGCCCCAATTTAGCGCACCTGATGTTTCCCACCATTGAGCACAACATCTATCGTTTCGTCATCTTCATAGCAGAACCGATCTTGTACCCTCGGTATGTTAGGGTGCAGTGTACAGTGTACAGTCCTAAATGAATTTTCAGATTTGATCTTTTCATTGTTAGTAGGGCGCGGGGTCGTGAGATTCTTCGTAGGACTTTCTATTACTGTCAGTTTCCCCGCTTCATTTGATTGCATTGCCTACCGATTGGCATTATATAACCAACATCGGCTGTTGATCTGTTGATGACATATAGCTATCAGGTAATACAGTGACGCTGCTGCGAAAAAAGTTGATGCGCCCTAGGTGGCTTTTATGATATTGTACAATTGGGAATGATCTTTCATGTGTGTGTGTCATTCCCGACTGACTGAGTTGCGACATTGTCTGGAAAAGTGATTTATTTTGGTCTCTGAAATCACAGTTATTACCAGCGTCGAGTGAAGTCATTCCTGTAGTCACAAAATACTAGTAGTATATGCCATTTTTTTATTTGTTTCTTTATTTTTGAGTCCACTATCCCCTGATATGATGTCACTATAGCTTATTATGACACCTTAACGCCTCTTGGCGGTTTTCTACAGTCCCGAAAGCCTACGGGGGTTAAAATATTTTGGCCTTCAAAAAGCCTGACTGTCAAAAAATACGTTACTTCTTTTCCATACAAATTGCTCCCTTTCCAATATCCTTGCGCAAACCTCGATAGCATGCACTTCCATTTTAAAATATTCTGCAAGATTGATAATTCCGTCTTTCGGTGCTCCTCATAAATGACAGCCCCAACGTGTTCATGCGTACCTCCATGAGACTAGTCTTACACTGAGCCCACTCATCCCTGCTTGACAAGTTCACATCATAGTCATTGATATCTTAAGCATCATATTTGATGGCATCTCCAGAATTCCTTAAATTCCAGATATTTTTTCTCAGTTGAAAAATTTTTTGTTTCACGTAGTAAAGAAAAATATTTTCCTTGTGTGACTTATATGTTGTGCTTTATTAATGGCTTGATACTTCGTTTTTTGTTATTTTCTGGAAAATTGTATAAGACATTCAGAATTGTGTTGAAAAAATGTCACGGAAAATCTGTCGGTGTGTCGGTCTTGATGTTTTCTGGATATCAACATTATAAATTTGTATCCATCAAGTTGGTGTTCGGTTTTTATCTTCAGTTCACAGGTTCTGAAATTCGCTTATTCGCCCTACTTGAGGGAACCTCAACACTCGAACTACGTGTTGTAGACCATATTTGGTCCTCTTTTCTTATGTCATGAAGCCTTATGTAAAATTGTTTAATGTTGCTAAACGCAATTTTGATCTTCCTTTATTTGAAGCTAAACATCAAAATAACAGACAAGCTGATGAAGGCTCCAGGATTCCTCTGATAAAGAAGCCTAAAGGCGTTTTCTATGAACTATAATTTGGGACACTCTGGTCAGGTTCGAACGACCTATCTGGCGTTTTAGCTTAACCAGTTTCCGTTGTGATACAATAAAACACAGACAAAAACATAAAGCGTAAAGCTCAGAATTGGTTATTAATTTTGTATTAAATTGCGCCGTAAATATTGATACCTAACGATTAAAATCGTCAAATCAAACAAGGTTGGCGCTACGATAAACCCAAACGCACTTCCCCATTTTAGGTATCCATTTCACGACGAAGAACACGTCGAATACAGCAAAGTAACGCAGGATAGGATACTCGGGACCAAAGGCGAAGTAGCTACGGTAAACGACCATACCCTCACGTACACTCTACACACCACTAATTTGTGTGATTATAGATATATGATGCAAACACCGGTTCCTCAATTACTCGCCTAATACCGACGATCAGCAACCAGTACACGAAAAACAAAGCCACGTTCAGTATGAACGACGAACTCATTCTATCTGACGGCGTCCTGTTCGACGTAAATTCGGGCAAACCCATCCACAAGCTGGATAAACTGAACCAGACCCAAAGCGGGCTCTTTCATCCCAACGGCTTGGAGGTGATTTCTATTTACCCATCCCGCAGTGCCATGCTATATGTTTTACGTTTTAGATCGTGTCGAACACGGAAGTTTGGGACATTCGAACGTTCCACCTGCTCAAGACTGTGCCGGCGCTAAACCAATGCGCGGTAACCTTTTCTCCCGTCAACAGCGCCCTCTACGCGATTTCGATGGAACAAGAGATGGATGACGGCGACTCCTCGTTCGATTCCAGCTTCAAGACGTTCGATTCGAACGACTATTCGAGCATCGCGACCATCGACGTTAAGCGGAATATTTACGAATTGGCCGTGAATTGCTACGACACCCAGATAGCGATGGTAGAAAATCAAGGGATGTACAATTCGGTGCAGGAGTCGGTAGTGCGGCTCTACGATGTAGGCAGGAGGAGGGACGATGAAGACGAGCAGGTAACGTATGCCCGCAGCAGATGGGGGATATTGCGAAATTTGAAAGCGATTATTTGACCTTATATTTGATTGCTTGGCGTTGTTTTTTTATGTATAGGAAGAGGAAGACGACGATGATTTGGACAACGATAACAGCGAAGACGACGGATCGGATGGAGATGGTGAGTAGATTTTTTGATTAGCAATTGTAATGAATTTGCCAAACCCGCTCGTGAAGATAAATTGAGTCCAGATTCCACAGAGCAGTGTTTAGGTATTTCGACAATTAACTAAACTTACAATTACTTTTTAAAGCTACTCTGAAAAAAAAACAAAGTTCATGCTAAATATTATTTAAAATTTGCATGACAGATATGTATAAATCAATTTGATGTGCTTGTATATTTCGGAAGCCATAGCTCTGTATTATAATGCTATTCCTTTCGTTACCACCTATTTCTTGTAAAAAAATGTCGAAAAGATGTGAATTTAGAAAAAAAATCCCACTGACCAATAAGCAGCGTTATATGTGACGATGTTCTTATATTTATTTAAATGCTCCTGTTCCCTTAGTTTACACGTAATGTGATAATTTGACAAGTTATATATATAGTTGAAAATAAAAAAAAACGCAATTAAGGTAGTGTACCAGAAAAGAATTTCAACACAAATTATATAAAATGCATGTATATAAAGTGACTGCGCCCTGGATTCTACTGAGGATACTCCATCTAGACCAGTTTTCGATAAGTTTGTGCATAACAAAGAGCTACAAGGGGTGTCTAAAATGGCAAAATTTAAAAAAAAAACACTGTATATCTAAAAATCCAAAATAACTATGGCATGTAGCCTTGGCTCACGAAAGCAGCTCTATTAATAAGAAAGATGCACCGTAAAATCATCAAAAATGGGACACACTGTACCCCGCGATCCATTATAAATGTCCACACCCGCCCTACTTTTTTTCTCAGAAAAAATGTTAATACAAAAGTTTTATGGTACAATTGAACGTTTTTTTAAATCTTATGAAATCTCATACAGGGGGATCCGTAAAAATTATTTTACGGATAAAGATAAACATATTTTTTCTTCTTATGGGATGCTCTGTATATATTATATAACACATTATGATTATTTTAAATTTCTAAGGCAGAAAATGCCAAAAGCAAGTTTTCACATTATTTCCATTCTCCGTTTCATAACTTGTTTTGAGGTCTTTATTAGGCCAGAAACACATTTCTCAAACTGTTTAATATTTTTTATTATGTAAACAATAACAATAATTAATATGATTATAAATCAAACTTTGCCGTGGTTAACTACATTATTTATTTATTTATTTAATTATTAAATTCTGCAAAATGTAGAAAGGGACCACCATTCATTTCTAGACATAATTGATAGCTCTTTTAGTTTTTCTATAGCATAATTAGAATGATTGGTACGTATATGATTTATTTCAGTCCCTGTTTTCTTATTTTGCTGCCTAGTAAATAAAATTTAATTTTTTAAATGCTCCTAAAGAAATTTATGGAATTCTAAGGTCTGTTAGCTGGCCATATCGTTGTTCCGTGTCTTCCAATCACCAAACTTTATGCAAATTGCGAAGTCGATCACGTATAGAATTTTAATGATTGTTTAAAAAAACATATTATAATTATTACTAGAAAAGATCCAGCAAAAACCTGGGAAATATAAAGATAAGATAAACTTATTTGGAGACACCCTAAAGTTGCCAGTATCAGAAAACAACAACTCGTGGTCGTCTCAACAAGCAGCGATTTTAGTGGCAAAATTAAAAAATTCAAAATATATTTTGTCAATATAATATAAATTATTTGCATTTTTCTCCTTTTTAAATATTTGTTTCTTAGAAGTGATTAATAAATATTTTTCTAGATGGTATAGGAAATTTAGAAATGCCTTTCAATTTTTGGGGTTAGAGTAAGTGTCAAGAATCTAGGACACTATTTACAATACTTCTGGATTCCTCCTGCGTTGGTTGCTGTTGAGTCGAACTTGCTGACGTTTCGCCAATCATCCTGTTGGCTTGTTCAGAGCATCTTAGTAGCACAGTTTTAGTACTTTGTAACATTAGCCATGAATATAAAACAAATTGACAATATGAGAATTTGAGTATCCTTTCTTATTAAATTTAAACTTTTACTTTGTAGTCTACTTACAATGTAGTGCATAGAACGTGAAGGGAAAAAATGGTCAGCCGAACAAATACGATACAATCAAAAAACCTGTTTATTTCAAATATGGTTCGGTTCGGAACGTTAGAGTCAAAAATATAGAGGGTGTTCCATTTAACAAGAGTACATTTTCCTAATTTTTTCGTAAACCCTACATTTAATGGTTTTTCTGTTTTCACCAAGGTAATCAGTGGAAAAAATGTTGCTTCGTTTGCTAATTCAAACGACTTTGTATCTCTACTCATAACAAAGGTACCAATGATGAACACTTAATTTAGATCAACGTGTATAGTATATAGAATGTTGCCAACCTGCTAGAGATAGATATAATTGAATTAAACGATGCCTGCTCCAGATTTCTATTATACATATTTCAGATACGTTCATCGTTTCGCACCGAATCTCAAAATATACGGTGTTTCATTTGAAATAAGCAAGTTGAGAGTAAGAGGTACTTACTTGACACTTACCTTAACCCCAAATATTGAAAGACGTTTCTAAATATGTTTTTATCTGCCACTCTTTTTTTATCTCTCTCTCTCTCTCTCTTTATCTCTAACTCTTAACACCTAAGAAAACTTTCAGTTGTACCTACAACTTTTACATTTAACTTTTTTTTCTAAAATCCCAAAGAAAAAATGTCTGGACATTTATAATGTACTTATACTTTATGAATAATTCTAGATCACGTAGTAATCGATTTAGGGGCGGACAACGACAACGGGGCCAACAACGATAACAACGAAGACGACGACAATGGAAGCGACAGCGACGAGACCTGGACGACGTTGTCGAGCGAGTCCGATTCGTCGGATTCCGTTATGGGAGACATAATGTTTTTTTAGCTTTAGATTTAAACCGCGGCGAGCCATTTTTCTTATTAAATCAATTTTTATCGGGAAATTTTATATTCGGTACTTCCCTCAGCCCACACATACACAAACGCGAGTTTATGGGCGAACGAAAGTGTAGTGCGCGGTGGATCAGTCATCATATGACGATAAAATTTTCAATGAGTGATTACTGTTTTTTTTTTATGGACAGAGTTTTTATTGTAGTGGAGATTACGTAACGAGAGATAATATTGGTTTGTGTGGGCATCCTGTAATCTGTATGTCTATAGATGGTTAAATGCACGAACTATAAGTATGTACATACATATTCCATGTGATTTCAACCGGCGAATAAAAGATTGTAAATACACTCCGGTTATTTTATTTGATACCAAGTCATCCTTTTTTACAAGTATTTAACATTTCAACATAGAATGTTTATTTGGAGGTCGAAATAATTACAAAAACCAAATCGCATTAATAGGCTTTGTTTTCTTCTAAGCGTCATGGTTATTTCAGACTTTAGAGAGCTATATTGCTATGTACCGTGTGTCCTAATAATGGCAACGAAATAAGGTGTTCCATAAATGCGGGAATGGTGCTCAGGACACGTAATTGTTATCTTTAATTTTAAACCGCAGTTTCTACTAAAATTTACAATTAACCATAGTAGTGACTAACTGTTTTAAAGATGAGAGAAATTCAAACCACTTTTGTTTAATGATGCTGGTGGCTCTATCTATGCAAGGAAAGTGGGGTGGTGTGTGCTTTTTTTATTGACTAGAGGTAAAAATTAAAGGCGTAATCCTACAGTTTACGTATATAGTAGATGGGGTGATAGATAACAGAATTGTCGGTTTGCGCACCTACAGTATTTTATACCAATTTTTCGTCATCTGTTAGGAAATATTCAATTTTCGTTTCTGTCATAATTGTTTGTTGTAGCAACTGTTAAATCCTGGAGAGCGTAACGCAAAATTAATTTTCACGCCTATAAATAATACTCGTCAACGGCCATCTCCTCGTCTTTGAACAGCTCCCTCACTTAAATCTGGTACGCTGTGGCTCACTCTAGCAGGACCGTACGTATCTACTTCAATGATGCGTTCTGGTCGACGGCTAATTCCTCTGTGGGCGGATAGATGGTGGTGAGGGTGTTCATTTGTTACAACCTCCTCTCTGGTTTTAAGGCAGGCACGGAAGAGGAACCAGGATGGATGTGTGGGTTTCTTGGGTCGTGCGCGTTTTCGTAATGGTACTGTTGGTTGTATGTCCTCTTAAGGGGAACAATGATACACTCTTAATGGGACATTTTGTGAATTGAGACGAGCGACCTGGAATGAAGTTGGAGAGATTTCCTTGTTGATAATAAAAATCCCATCCCATTTTCGATCGAATTTAGGCGTTGTCTTCTTCTTGATGATCTTTCTAAATCTCTTACTAAAGTTGCTAAGAGTGATTTTAAATCATGATTTTCTACTTTCTACCATGTTCGCTTGTGGATGGAACACTGGCCTCAAATTTTGTTTAGTAGCATACTTGTCTAGAAAACTGTACCTCAGAAAGATTTTATCTATCAATATTTTGGAATATCCTTTTAGAAGTAGCGTTGACTAATCGGAACAGAATATCCACTGTTGTCAATTTTCGTTGGTTAGCAAAGGTCCAAAAAGGTCGATGGTACCACTTCAAATCTTCACCAGCTGGCTTTTGATTACTAGCTCTATCATAATGAGCTCCTGTAGGGGTGTATCATGATGTTCTTTCAGATGGTGGTAAGGGTGAACTTTTTGCCACTATTATTTGTGAGGTTAATACTGAACAAAGCAGAATATGTGAACATGGGGAATAGTTAACAGTGGTGATTATTATATTGTGTATATGGACGATAAACAGCAGCAATAACGCAGAAAGTTGACACTTGATGGTTAAAGAAAGTGCAAACAGGGCGTCGGAGTAAATTTGCTGCCTCTAAACCGCTTTTTGTTTTATCTTCATGAATTTATGACGACATTTTTCTTAATTTCTTTATAGGATCCTCCAAACTAGTGCTCAATAGCTTGAATTTTAATTTCATTTTGTGTAGTTTAAAGAAGTTTTCAAATATATCTTAAAGAACAGTTCTACTCACCATCGGCTATTGTATTGTGTTTTTGCGAAACTTTTTGAATAAACTCAGTTTGATCTAACTCTACTTAGTCGATTTTAAGTCGCATTATGGAAACAAGTAGTATTAAGTAACCACAGTTTTACATAATTTTCCTGTGTAAATCGAACAAATTTGGCAACGCTGTTAAAATTTCCCGTGCTACTTTCATATATGAATAGCTAAATTGCAGGATTATCAACTACAGAATACGTCTCTTAATTAATGATTTTTTAGTGAAATTTGTCGCTATGAGTAAAGTGAAAAACTAGAATTTATAGCGAAATATTACAGTTAAAAATATTTAAACAGGGCAAGTCGTATTACGCCAGGAAATAGATCAAATAGAGCTGCCAACTTTGGATTTCGGTTAAACATTTAACGCCCTCTTTCCAAAATGTTTCTACCTTCGACTGCGTTCTACTCCGCCACTGGTTCTACGACTGACTGACAAAATAGGGTGAAAATATTTACGCAAACTTGCGTTGCCTAATTACATTGAAACAAGGAATAAATAAAATAATTTTAGTTCACAGCGGTTACGATCATTTATATATTTTTTTAAATCGATACAACACGAGGCATTTTTCGGAAAGCATTTTCGCCATTTGTAGAATCACTGCGTCACGAGTAATGGTCGATTACGTAGTGAATCCATTCGATGTAATTAAATACGGCTGTGTAAATCCCATATTTGTTTTTTTCGCCGCAACCGTCCCCGAAGCTCGTGATTCCCTGGACGCTGTACTTTTGCCTCCTGGGCTTCAAATTGGAACACATCAGGCCACCGCCGCTATCACCCGCACACGTGTCTGACTTTCCTGATCTCCATCCCGCGCATAGCATGTTGGGGCTGATCAGGAACTCCTTGTAGGACTTCTTGCAAGTCTTATGTCTCACCAGCGGTAACTAGCAAAAAGATCAATACTAAGGGTGGTCTAGGCTTTAATTATATATATGGTAATCGTCTTAGTATCACGGGAGAAAAATGAAAAGGCGGTAATTGTTTGACTGGTGTCCCATGTTGCAATGTTGCTTAGTTTATATTTTAATTATGTGCAATCTCGCTGCGCGCTACTCAGTATGCAAAGCCCTTACGCGGTAAAACTTTGGTAAATATAAACATTTGTACCAGTAATTGTGATTCCCAGTTATACTTTTTCAAATATTTCGCGCACCCTGTAGCTCGATGCCGATGAATGGTTTTCTCGAAAAAAAAATTTGGGGCACATCTGTTGCATCAGGGTTTTGTTCGGTGGTCTATGGTGTTCCTATTCTACGGTCTTGAGAGGTTAGAATGTCGTACTCTTAGACAGGTATCTCGCGCGTTTATATTTGAACCTCATAACGCTGTTTTAAAAAAAGGTTTTGTAGTGAAGTTCTCTTTTAGTATAAAAAAGCCTCCAATACGACATCGTAGGTGTAAATGACATCAACGCGTCCAGAAAAAATAGTGATGTTAACATGGACAGCTGGTAACAGCTTAATTTATCGACAAAAAAAAAATTAGCTTCGCCACAAACAATCGAAAACAATCCTGATGGTTTAAATTTAGACTGAACTCACATGCCAGTAAGTCTCATTCCTGATGTCTACTTGATGTTCTTTTGGGATTTGCGATTTTAAACTTATCGAACTATGATAAATTAATTAATAATAAATAAAACAAACGGTTAGCAAGACATAGATATTTTAAACAATAACGAAAACAACAAAAATGCCTAACTGAAACACAAAAGAGATGTGCACAATCAGAAAATGAACTTTATGCAATTTGTTTTGATGTTAAGATGTGTTTATAGTTAACAAATTTCCGTGGAAACTGACAATTAACCACTATATCAATTTTTAAGAAACCTTTATACAAGAGCGCTGTTAGAATATAACCTATGATTAGCAAGTTCAGTCAGCGAAACGAAAACAATCCGAATTGTCTAAATTGAAGATAACACGTCACATGCCAGCAAGTCTCATTCCTAACATTTACCCGATGTTCATTTTGAATTTGCGATTTTAAAAGCATCCAAATGGGATAAAATCGTTAGTAGTTTTAAAAAACATAAACGGTAAGGACGACATTAATGAGAAACCGTTTCAATGAGTAGAATAACAATTCAAATAGATATATATTATAAAAAAATAATATAAATATCATTAAAATGTTGTTTACTTAAAAAGGATAGAAAATACCTAAAAAATTTTGCAAAACATTAACCGAAACACAAACGAGATAAGCACCAGTAAAAAAGGAATTTAATTCAATTTGCTTTGGTTAGTTTTGGTTAATTACCATCAGGCAGTAATATAAGTTTTTAAGAAACTTCAGCGTATGATGTTGCATTTACAAAAATTTCATATTGAGGTTAAGTTTAAGCCAGGTAAACAATTAATTTTGGTTGATACTCTTTTAGGTGCCTATTGGTTAGTTTCTGTCTGCTAAACGAAAACAATCCTGATTGTCTAAATTATTCCTAACGCTTACTCGATATTCCTTTGGGATTTATAATTTTGAAACTCTAGCTGTGAGTAAATACTTAGTAATCTTAATGGTTAGGACGACATGAATGAGTAACCGTTTTACTAAGTAGAAATGCTCAAACTCAAACATATTTGAATCAATAAAAAATTTATTAATATTATTCAGATGTTTACTTTGCTGAAGACGGATAGCAATAAAACGTACCTAAAAATTCAATGTAACTTTTTAACCGTTGTCTAAATAATCAGTAATCCTTTCCAACGCCCGTTAAACCAACACATGAGGCATTTGTTTTTACAAAAACGATGCGTACTTATGAAATAGTTTCAGCATTGCCATGTCATCAGAGAACTTACATGCCCAACATGAAATAATTAATACTCGTGTGGATAAAATATTGCAAAAATCATATTATTAACTTAAATCTTATCGTAAAATAAAGCTCCTTCCAAATTACCGTACCGCATCCCCCGGCATCACACAGCTCTGTTTATAAGAGGTCTTTTAGTGATAATACCGTAAAGTGTCTGCCGACATAAAAAATCTGAGTAACATTACTTTAATACTGTGGGTATGCTTCTTTTTATGTATAAATAATATCTCAGGTGTAACGTTTTACCGTTACCTAGGATTACGGGTGGAGTCCACATCGACGAAGAAAGCACAGAAGCCTTATATTTCGAGTGGCAAAAGTCAAAGAAAGACAATAGAAAAGCACCT